AAAGATTCGAGCCCCGCTCTTGTTGTCTCCAAGGTCTTGACTCTTCAACATCAACAAGATGAAGACCTAAGATGCCACATCTTCCACACCAAGGCCGACATCAATGGAAGGTCTGTGAAGGTCATCATCGATGGAGGTAGTTGTCATAACTTGGCAAGTGAAGAACTATGCTCCAAGCTCCAATTGATCAAGATGAAGCACCCGCACCCCTACAAGGTTCAATGGCTAAGCGACGCCGGTAGTATCCAAGACGAGCATATGGTACAAGTTTCATTCAAAATTGAAGCTTACGAAGACACTTTGGAGTGTGATGTTGTTCCGATGTCCGTTTGCCACCTCCTTCTTGGACGGCCATGGCAATTTGACCGAGGCGTCATTCGCAATGGGCGTACAAACCACTATAGCTTCAAGATGAAAGGAAAGGAGTATGTACTATGACCTATGTCTCCAAGCCAAGTGATCGCCGACAAGCAAGCCACCCATCGTGGAGAGAATAGTAAGAGAGCGAACCACCAAAAAGAGAGTGAGCACCACTAGCCCAAATTGAGTGACTCCACGATGAGCGAAAAGAAAAATCTAGTACTTTTGCCACCACAAGTGAGATGAGAGAAGTGTGTGAGAACCCATCAAGTGTCATGCACTATGTCCTTTTGTGCAAGGACGAGGCACCAAAATCTAACACCTCTCACAATCTACCTTTAGTGTTTTCTTCTCTATTGCAGGAATTCCAAGATGTTTTCCCCGACGAGCTACCTCTAGGTCTACCTCCACTACGAGGCATCGAACACTGAATCGTCCTCATCCCCGGAGCACCCCTTCCTAACAAGGCTCCCTATCGCGTCAACCCCGAGGAAACAAAGGAGATCCAACGGGAAGTACAACAACTCATCGACAACGGTCATGTACGAGAAAGTTTGAGCCCTTGTGCCGTCCCGGTAATCCTTGTTCCCAAGAAAGATGGTACATATCGCATGTGTTCTGATTGTCGTCCTATCAATGATATTACCATGCGTTATCATTACCCCATTCCATGCCTAGATGATATTCTAGATGAACTTAGCGGAGCCACCATTTTCTCTAAAACTGATCTTAAAAGTGGCCACTACCAAATACGCATCCAAGAAGGTGATGAATGGAAAACCGCATTTAAGACCAAATTTGGCTTATATGAATGGCTTGTTATGCCAATGGGTTTATCTGAAGCACCCCGGTACTTTCATGCGAGTCATGCATTTTGTTCTTCGATCCTATATTGGTGTATTTGTTGTGGTCTATTTTAACGATATTCTTGTGTTTAGCAAATCTCTCAAAGATCATGTCACCCATCTTAGAACCGTGTTGCAAACCCTTAGGAAAGAGGTCCTTTATGCTAATATGGACAAATGCCTTTTTGGTGTTGATAAGCTTGTTTTCTTGGGTTTTGTTGTGTCTTCTAAGGGTGTTCATGTTGATGAATCTAAGATCAATGCTATTAAAACTTGGCCCCAACTAACAAACTTGCAACAAGTGCGTAGCTTCCTTGGTTTAGCCGGTTTCTACTGTAGATTTGTTAAGGATTTTAGCACCATTGCATCTCCTTTACACGCTTTGAGTAAGAAAAATGCACCCTTTGTTTGGGGACCATCTCAAGATAGCGCATTTAATGAGCTTAAGAATTTGCTTACCCATGCTCCCATGCTTGCATTACCCAACTTTGACAAACCCTTTTAAATTCATTGCAATGCTAGTGGTAATGACATAGGAGGTGTGTTAACTCAAGAGAAGTGCCCCATAGCTTACTTTAGTGAAAAACTTCCCGGAGCGCAACTCAATTACCCCATCTATGACAAAGAGCTATATGCTTTAGTGCGATTTTTGCATGAATGGGGACACTATCTTCGCCCTCATGAATTTGTCATCCATACCGACCATGAAACGCTTAAATGCCTTAAGGGTCAAACTAAGTTGAACAAGTGTCATGCCAAATGGAGTGAGTTCATTGAGTCATTTCCTTATGTCATCAAATACACCAAAGGTAAGGAAAATGTTGTGGCGGATACTCTTTCCCGCATATGCATGCTTGTCATCAAACTTGAATTGAATGTCATTGGCTTTGAGCACATAAAAGACTTGTATGCGCATAATCCTACTTTTTCTATCATATATGCCAAATGTTTGATGCATACATCATGGGAACGCTATTACATCAAAGATGATTATCTTATGAGAGCTAACAAACTATGCATTCCCGAGTCTTCTCTTCGTTTGTTACTTTTGCAAGAATCTCATGGAGGAGGACTAATGGGACACTTTGGACACGATAAGATATTTTCTACGCTCTCCAAGAACTATTTTTGGCCCAAGATGTTCCGCGACGTCTCACATTTCACCAACCGATACTCTACATGTCGCAAAGCTAAGTCTAAAGCTCAATCCCATGGCCTTTACATGCCACTTCCTATTCATATCACCCATGGTAAGATATTAGAATGGATTTTGTGCTTGGTTTGCCTAGAACTAGAAATGGCAAAGATTCCGTGTTTGTTGTTGTGGACTGATTCTCTAAGATGGCTCACTTCATTTCATGCAACAAGATAGACGATGCTTCACATGTTGCCAATCTCTTTTGTAGGGAAATACTGCGTCTACATGAAGTACCCAAGACGATTGTCTCGGACCGCGACGTCAAGTTCTTGAGCTACTTTTGGAAGACCTTATGTGCCAAGCTCGGAATCAAGCTCTTGCTCTCTTCGGCATACCATCCTCAAACCGACAGCCAAATGGAGGTCACGAACCATACACTCTCCACTCTACTACGCGTGTTGATCAAGAAGAACATAAAGTAGTGGGAGGAGTGCCTACCTATCGCCGAGTACGCCTACAACCGCGCAAGACATTCGACTACCGGCAAGTCCCCCTTCGAGGTCGTCTATGGTTTTAACCCGTTGTCCCCATTGGACATTTTTCCTCTACCACTACAAGAGTGCGTCAACATGGACGTGGGTGCCCGAGTCAACTACCTCAAGAAGATGAATGAAGATACAAGGCACACCATCAAGCGCCAAGTACAACGACTCGTGACCAAGCTCAACATCAACAAGCAACCCATAGTATTCAACATTGGAGATCTTGTGTGGCTACACCATCGCAAGGACCGCTTCCCCAACGAACGCAAGTCCAAACTTCTACCACGAGCGGATGGACCCTTCAAGGTGCTTGAGCGCTACAACAACAACGCCTACAAGATCGACATCCCACGCGACAAGTACCCTGTGAGCGACATCTTCAACGTCAAAGATCTCTCTCCCTACCATGGTGATGAAGATTTCGATCCGAGGTCAGATCTTTCCCAAGGGAGGGGAGATGATACGGAGCATCCTAGGGTCATCCCCATGGACCTACCATGGTCTCACCAAGTGCCAAGAGGACCGATGACACGAGCATGAGCTAGAGCTCTCAAGACCGAGGTGACTTCTTTCCTTAGTGATATTCGCTATGATCCGCTCGAGACATGGCTATTACCTAAGTATGAAATGTTGTGCATGATCAGGTACCAAGAAGGCCCTCCCGAAGATGGACGTGAAGACGGACAAGTCCCCAAATTCATGGATGAAGATAAACGACGGAAGGATCCGAAGAGGTCTCCAGGACCCGGACATCCGGCACCAAGCCCCGGACATCCGGCCCCTGGAGCATCCACCACGACAGCCACCCAGCCGCCAAGTACCTACAGGCCCCGGACATCCGGCCTTAGCCCGGAAATCCGGCGTCCTCTATCCCGAAAGCACCGAAACCGACCTCGCTAGCCCGGACATCCACCCCCCAGCCCGGACATCCGGCCCCTCGGGAAGGCCCGAACATCCGGCCCCATCTGTCTGCGCACAATAAAGGGTCGAGGCCCATGTACCCCTTCGCCTACCTAGACTATATATAATCCTCCTCCTCCCTCTTTCTAGGGTTAGCAAAGTAGTAGCTCATTGAGGAGCTTTGCTCTCCACTTGATCCCCTTCTCCTTAGGAGTTCACGACCTCTACGGAGAAGATCCCCCCAAGTGGATTCAAGACCCCTAACGGGAAGACCTCAAGACCTCCTCATGGAGAAGAACGTGTTACCTATGTATCGTCCTTTGTTGGATTTGGATCGTGTATCTCGTTGTGTTCTGAGGATCTAGCATACTCCCTCCGTCCGGTGAAGATTGTACATTTGGGTTTAAAATTTGTCCACAAAAGAGTGTACTTCTATCTTCCCAATGCACTTTAAAGTATTTTCTTTCATCACACGGTAATCAAGAGCAATATCATTCTATACATAGTCTTCTTAATTTCTACATGCACTTAGCTCATTGGGGATTGGGTAATTAAAGTGGAGAGAGATGGTGGCTTGCATCTTCTCAATGCATTTTTTACTCCATTTCATAATTTGTCATAAAATTTCTAGATGTACACTTTTCACCGGACGGAGGGAGTATGTGTGACCGAATCTTGTTGGTTTGAGTGATTCTCTCGTGTTTCCCCTCGTGATTTCTCCTCGTGTTCTTCGTGTTCATCGTGGGATCCTCTCCTTTCGTGAAAGATCGGACATCTAGGGTCTATGCTACATCACCCGGGCTTTCCCGGCGGCGGCTAAGAAGGGAGGAGGGGGGGGGGTGAGGAGGAGGGGCGGCTAGGGTTGGGCAACCAACGATGGCCTCCTACCCCGAAACAAGGAGACGCATGTAGTAAAAAAGAATTTGCTCTTACTTCCAACCAATCTCTGTACCACGTGACACATGTGGTAATCAATCCAAACTATTAAAAAAACCTCTATAAGCATCGATCAATCCGAATGTATTGTTTTTTATTCTTGTGATGATCATATATGAACGACCACAATTACTTTTGTAACCCTGACAACCACTATAGCAGATTGGCAGCACCTCGCGATACAAAGTAGGGAAACAAGCACATAGTACGCGAAATTCGTAATTAATCAGCACGACTACTCTAGTATACCGGAGTAGGAGTTGCGAATACAGTGAATAGCTAGCCGATGACGGGGGTCTTGAGAACGACGCCGTTCCCGTCGGAGATGATGACGACGCGCCTGGGGTTGTATCCAGATGGCAGCGGGGAGCCCTCCTTGTAGAACCCCACATCAGTCACATCCGGCCGGTCGATGTTGATCTGGTACGCCGCGTTCAGCTGAATCCACCCCACCACCTCCGGCCACGACGACTTCGCCATTAATTCTTTCTTCCTGTGATTTGCTTCCGCTGTAGGACGTGCGTCTGTGTATTGATCAGGGCACGCTGGTGTAAGTGGTCTTAATGTATTTGTAGGGTTTATGTACTCGATGTAAGCGGAGGCAGGGTACGTACGTGGTACGTCTAGGGTGACGATGCCCGATGGAGCGTGCTTCGCATACGCCGCCCTCTCTATTGGACGGCCGGCGTCGAACGGTTTTTTGTTACCGGCGGCTAGTGTCTTGTTCTTGATTGGATCATATAGCTAGCTTGACCAGATCAAGTTTACATGTGTACTCAAGATGACAATTGGACAATTGGTAATGCATTTCTTGACGGAGTCGACATGCAACAGTTGAAGTTCAAGCCCACGCACCTATGCTTTCCTATCTAGATTTTTATTTTTGGTGGAGATCTGTGCATAGAAGTACCTCCCTTTTTTCCCGGAAAAAGCTAGCGTTCAGCCGGCAGATCACACGAGAACCTCCGCCGTCAGGGACGGATCCAGCTATATGGCGAGGTTTGGCAGCCGCCATACCTAAAATTTGGCAAAAGTATTGCATATATATACTGTATGTATGAAGCTTTGAGCTGAGTCAATGGATTTTTGGTCAGTTTCGTCAATTTGGAGGATGAATACTCGCAGGGGGCAGGCAACTCATGGCCTCGGATGTATTTCGCCAGGTAGTTGTATTGTTACCTACGTGTTTCTGCCTCATTAGAGGCCTAACTGCCGCTGAAGGAGAGAATTAAGCAATATAGGTGACTTGCATCACATAAGCCCATGACCCACAAGCCCATGTTCTGAACGAGGACACCATTGGCAGTCAATTGCAAATCAATTCACATGTACTCCAGTTGATTGGACATGCTAAAAAATGTACTAGTTGATTGGAGATACACGAGTTGTTTCGTTCAAGCACGGTTGATCAGGAATCGCCTTGCAGTCGCCCCTCAAGCTTGTCTCTAGCTGTGTGATGAGCAGTGCCAACTCCGCGAAACCCAGAGCCTCACCGCTTTCCGTCTCTCCGGTGAAGAAACTAGATCTAATCGGACTCAAATCGTCTGAGGTATTACAATATACAACTAGGAGCAACGGCTACTCCTCCAAACTCATGACAATGTATGTCTTGTTGTGATATTTGTCCCTACTACCGACCGACCGACCGACCCCTAGTCGGCTAACCCCTAAGGCATGCAACAGAGGCAGCGATTACAGAGCAACCACGCGATCTTTAGTCAGCGTGGTGGGCATGGCAGCGATCACCGTCAAGAGATGCAGCAAGCAGGAACGTCACATAGTTATATGTTACTACATTGTTTTTTCCCCTCAAACTCTGCCACACCTAAAAAATATTCCTGGCTCCGCCACTGTCCGCCGTCTTGTATGTGTGACGCGTGTCCTGTGTGAGCACAACTCAGCGCTATCACTACAACAACTGATTTCTTCCTTCCCTCTTCAATCTCTCTTGCGGATGGATAAAGAGGCATCCGGCCATGGGAATCCATGTCGTTGACCTAGGAATCGATGTCGTTGCAGCCAGGTCTGGTGCGGGCGCCGCCGGTACCGCCGCAAGGCCGTCGGCCATCATGGTGTGCCCGAGCTCGGCATGGTCTCTGCCGATCTTCTCGCACGGATCTGGCCGCCCAAGCTCCTGCAACAATGCTCGCCTCATCAGATCTAGCAAATAAGCTCTTGCAGCCTGCAAAGTCGGTCGGCACCGCACCAAGCTCCTGTGGGAGAGGCGAGGCATCAGAGGCGGTTTTGTTTGCGCAGTAAAGGGTATGTTGTAATTGCAATTGGCCTCTTTGTTGCAAAAGGGCCATGTTTCAGAAAATCCTCGAATTATTATTTTTGCAACAAGGTCTTTGTTGCGGAAATTTTCTGCAACAAGACCTCTGTTGTGGAAAGTTTCTGCAACACGGCCTCTGTTGCAGATTTTTTTGCATCAAGACCTCTGTTGCGGAAATTTCTGCAACATCACTCTTGTTGCAAAAGTGGTGGTTGCTCACGTGGGCACATCGGGCGGCTATTGATGCGCCCATCCAATGGTTAGCGAGGTGGCGGATGTTTTTCCATTATCCGCCGGTGGACGCGTAGCATCTCCCTTTTTTCCCTCTCGCAAATCACAAAGTTATAAAGTTAAAATTTTGTAGGTCAACATGCATTCGAACTGCACAAGAGCAACTTCAACTGCACAAGAGCGCTGGTTTTGGCGCTCAAGCGCGCGGGAATGGTTCGCGCGCGCCGCGGACGGCGCTCGTTATAAAAAGGCGCTCCCTCCACACTCTGTCCACCGCCCACTCGTCTCGCCCCCTTTCACTAGCCTCGTCGCCTCTGCGTCGTCTGGGCGCTTCGGATTTTTGCGGAGTCCGCGAGCGCCGCTGCGGCACCTTCTCCTCCGAGATCTGGTTTGGCGAGAAACATCTCATCCTCGGCACCTTCGACACCGTAGAGGAGGCGGCCCGCGCGCACGATGCAGCGGCGTATCGCCTCTTGAGGCCTTGTTGGGATATGAATTTTCCCGATGTGTCGAGCCAGCGGGCACAGGATCTCGCGCCTCTCCCGCGGCTTTTCACCGACGAGGATCGTCGTATTCACCGGAGGCGGCAGTGTCGCCTCGCCATCGCCGAGATGGACGTGGAAGCCATGGTGGTGTGGCGCGAACGCTTCCCGCAGGACATCATCGACGAGCGCCAGTTCTACAAGCAAAGGAGGACGGAGAGGGACGCGAGGAGGACAGAGTGAACCGTCTATCGGGAGGACAAGCGTTCGCGGAAGCATGTCGCTCAATTGAAACTAAAGCTACGAGAAATGTCGGGTTGGAACTTCGAAGACGAGCAGCATGCTGACGCCTAATTCAGACGTCGGAGGAGGACATTACCAAGTCGCAGTCGGAAAGCAACGAGTAGTTGGTCTTTTTTTTATCTGTGTACGCTAGAACTATCTATGAATCCATTTTTATCGGGAAAAATGGCGTTTCTTTTTGGTTTTTCGATCAAAAATTGGTTTGCGTCGCCCGTCACCGCCATCGACCCCATGCTCCTCTACTCCAACACCGACGCGATCACCCGGTCTCCTCTCCGACCCAGCGGCCTCGCGCGATGCGGCAGTCCGTCATGGCTGTCATCCGCGCATCCGCCCGCCATCTTTCTACGTCGGCCGTCGTCGCCCTATCCTCAAGTACAACGCACCCTCCACCAATCGAGCAATGGGCTACCAATGCATCGCCCCGTCGGGACGCAGTGCCGCCGCACCCTAGTTCTCCCAGCGGCTACACCGACGCGTGCGCTGCCGTTGCGTCGCTCCTTCGGGTCGTAGTACCGCGGTCCACCGCCACCTTGAGGCCTCGGCTCCAGGTCGTCTCCGTAGCTACACCGATCCTCGCGCTGCCGTTGCATCGCCCCATCTGGCCGTAGAGAGTGTGGCATGTGGTCCTGCTGCCGCCCCATGGTTTTCCCCGTGGCTGCACCGACCAGCGCGCGGCTACTGCATCGCCCCTTCGGGCCGTAGTGCCACGGCTTGTGGCCATCGCCGCCACGAGGCCGTCTGCTCTAGGCCGTCCCCATGGCTGCACCGACCCTCGTGTTGCTGCTGCGTCGCCCCATCGGGTCGTTACAAGCATGGCACACGGTTCCTAACGCCGCCGAGAGGTCTTCCCCGCTGTCGGCCCGACCCGCGCGCTGCCGTTGTGTCGCCCCTTCGTGCTAGAGCGCCAAGGCACGCAGTCCGCGCGCGCCGACTATTTTGTGGTACGCGACACGCCGCCTTCCTAGGTGAGGGAACACGACCGTCTGCATTGGTCTTTGTCATGCTGTTGGGTTCGCCGCCTCCTCCTTAGACCGCCGCCGCCACTCTTCTTGCTGGTCCACAGCGACTACCTCGATACCGACCACCCCGAATCGACATCGATCACGGCGTACCTCGACCACGGCTATACCACCCTACCCTCTTGGCTACATCGACATCGGCACAAAGGGCTATCACCTCGCTTGAGCAACTCGTCAACTTTCTCTACACACGGCCGCGACTCGACACCGTTCACAACGCTCCCACTGCGACTGTGTGTGTGTGTGGGGGGGGGGGGTGTCATCCCATCGGCTGCTATTCTCTCTAGTCAGACTGTCCGCGACGCTCCTGTTGTTCGCAAGGCTAATGCTACAACAACGGGGAGGATGTTAGAGATATATCTGGTATTTAGAGATTGTTCGGGATTAGATAGGAATTGTTTCCATCTTATCTCTAGGAGGCGTGTTGTCCTCCAAATCTTGTACTCAATATATACTCACCCTCGAGACTCGGTAATACATCCAACGAATTCCACCAATCTCCCTCTCTATTCTTCTAACAAGAAGTACCTCCCTTTTTTCCCTCTCGCAAATCACACAGTTATAAACTTGAAATTTTGTAGGTCAAGGCGCATTCGAACTTCATAACATGTTGATTCTTGTCAAGAGTTTTTGCATATCATAAATAACTAAAATGCCAGGGTTTCAAATAAGCTCTACTATTAAGTATTTATGGTGCGCCACAACAAAATTTGAAGGGTGTGGGTGCATGGGCGTTTACAAAATGCTACTCCCTCCGTCCCTTAATCTAAGACATTTTGTAGTTTGAATTAAACTGCAAGAACGTCTTATATTAACGGACAGAGGTAGTGTTTCGCAGTGCAATAAGTCGATGGTGTCCGGGCTCTCACTCTCATGCGCATGTGCACACACAATCACTGATTCATTGACCTAGCCTAGCCTAGATCATCTACAGCGGGATTCCCTATATCGGCCTAATAGTTTGTTTTGGGGCTAAGCAATCCCCTCTCTCCTGCTCATCGGTAACCCCAAGGGTGCCCCTCTCTTGTTGTGCATGTCCTCTTAGGGTCATCACAACCTTGTTTCACCCCTACTTATCAATGGAATGATATGCCTCCACGCATATTCGGAGAAAAAAAATGACCCTATAGTCTGGATGAAGTTTATTTCAAAAAAATGTTTTGTATGAGT